TCAAACTGGACACATGCTTCGATTAGTGAAACGATATCTTGATAAATCGTTGGCGACTGGCCCTCTACTTGAGTTCGAGTAATTCCTAGAATAATTCAATAAAACTCGATTTTCTTTTATTAACGTTCAACAGAACTCTGACCTGGTAAATCAATCAATGTTAAATCTTCTTGAATCTCTCGTTTGTAAACAGTGAGAAAAATAGGCGATGCTGAAACATTGGTTAAGTTGCCGGTCAAAAAGTTCGTACATTCGATCACTCTGATAGAAATCTCCGAGAGATCATTGATAATCACTTCATTGATTCCAGCACATCGAATCGTGGCGTAGTCCTCCGTATCAGGCGGAACGCGTTTCATACGCAATTCTAGTGGACAGCGTGTGCAAATATTCTGTGCTCGTGGTAGTTCAACACCACTGATAGCCTCGAGTATCGATGATTTTCCTACCTAAACGAAAGATTTGGATGTTAATCTGAAACACGAACCAATCGTATGTACCGATTGATCGCCAACAACAACAATTTGTGGAAGTGGAATCTTTTCCATGTGCAAGATCTCTCGCATTGTGTCGACTTTCTTTAGTAGTTGACGACATTCGTCGGCGTTAATTTCCTTGTTGATCATGGCAATTGGATTGTAATTATTCACTGATGATGATGAATCCGATAAAAAACTTGCTTCATTATTTTCTGATGTGACATTCGATAAGTTACGCTGTTGAATATTTCTTCTTCTCGATGACATTGTTTCTCGCTGACGAAGATTACTGACTAATAGAATATTTACTTGGGATGATGACCAAAAACACTGGCTCACTTCTGAAAACGATTCTTCTTTTATGATTCTTATTTCTTCAAAGACGTCAATTTATAGCGTCGTCTAGTGAGAGTGAGGGTAAATTTGCAAAGAACTGATTCAAAGTACATAAGGCACGTTTCGAATCTTGCTCAAGGATTCATCATCCGGTATGGTTTGAATCATCGAGTGCTATATAGTCATTCAAAAGAACATCTTGGATTGAAACGAAAATGATTCACTATGAAGGTCAAAGAAGATGTCCAACATAAATAAAATTTCAAATCAATAAAGATTTAAACATTCGAATGTAATTTCGTAGCTAACACAAACAAGAGGAGATTACACAATCATTAGAGGCGACTACATTCACACAGAGATCCACAGCTCTAGATGATTTTCCACGGATTCCAATCAAATACTCAGAAATCTTCAAAATATCCTCATTTTTCATACAGATAAATCATTGATTTTCTTTCTTTAATTTCTTCAAAGATAATGCAGATTTTTTTCAAAAATTTTCAATTTTGAACAAGTCTAGCCGTATGATGCTTTCAATCAGTTCCTTGCCAACTCAACCCATAATTTGTGTTAGCTACGAAATTACATTCGAATGTTTAAACCCTTATTGATTTGAAATTTTATTCATCTTGGTCCAATTCTTTGACCTCCATAGAGGATCATTTTCGTTTCAATCCAATGTGTGTTCTTTTGAATGACTATGTAACAATCGATGATTCAAAACATATCTGATGATAAACCCTTCAGCAAGGTTCGAAACGCGCCTTATGATGCTTTGAAGCGGTTCTTTGCAATCTTACTATCACATTTAACTCTGTTTTGATTCTTTCGAGAATTGAAATGACACCATCTGATGATCCTCGTTGCTGAGGTGAAATGTTAACATTATGGTTGTCCATCCACAACGTCCATACCCTCACCTTCACATCCTCAAGATTCCAAGGGTGTGTGGACATAGAAGAGTGATCAGTCCACATGAAAGTTTGATTTTTTTATAAAGCTATGCGACTTTCATCTTCCGAAGGCATGCACACATAATAGTAAAATAGTTCTAGCTCAGAATCAGATAAAAATCTGTACCTGATTAAAAGCCCACGACGTCCGCAGAATTCAAGAGTGAATGATAATTGATTCACCGCAGGCGAGAATAAATGATGTGCTTATCTGAAACGAATTAAACGTAAGATGAAAGTGTATAATAAGAGAATATACTCAGAGACAGTGTCACATATGCATACTGCCTCGTTTAGGCTCATCTATTCACCGCTTTTTGGTTGTGTCTGAAAGCTATAGTCACGCACATCTCGACTTCCTCTTGACAATATGCGTGCTCCCACTGAACCTGTGTGACATTTCCCGCGCTGTGCTTGCCCCATTTGCATTCGCCTACGATGCCTACCGCTTGTACAGTTCGATTGCAAAAGGTATATCTGAATGGTTGTTTCACCCGTTCAGCAGTCATCGAAACACTCTGGATAGCTGCCTGCTGGACAGCCTGTGCTTCTTCACTGAGAAGCTTTTCGATCGCTGTTTGTAATCCCCATTGATCCTATTTGTGCGAGTAATTGTCATAAACAAACCCATCATGATGAACGCACGCCCCCATCTTGTTGTCATCTTCAATATAGTAGTCGTTACATTGAACATATTTTATTTTTTCGTTAGCCCATATTCGTTCTGTTTCTTGTTTATTGATTTCACTCATTGACCGAATAAACTGAACATCGTCGCAGACCTGACGAATTAGAAACAGATCACGAATCGTCACAATTAATTCTTTCTTTTCCACTTGCGTTGGATCATTGTTCAATGTCACAGACTGAATATAAATATTTTTCTCCTGTGGGAGAGACAACATGGAACAGAACAGGACGAAAGCTCTTCCTGATGGATAAATTTGGGCTAATATCTCATTGGTAGTAGAATGACGTTCATCAGAACATTTCTCAAACTCTCAGTGAGGCAGCATCAAGAAATTGATTTCCTGATCATCTATTCAATGTACGTTTGCTTATGGTTCGACTGTTCTATCTAAAAAAGTCCTCGATTTTATTCATTTCATTCGTACTCTTTCAGGGCTAAAAATGAGCAGCGACCGCCACATGGCAGTGAGCAGTGGTAGTTGGTGTGAAGAAAAATTCTTGAAGAAGGGTGCGGTCGCTCAAGTAGAGATGGCTCGGAGCAACCCCCGAGCCATCCTCTAAATGAAATTTTGTTTTGTTATATTCTCGTATCTTTATCGATTATTGATTGTTAGTAGGGATGCACCAATTCCAATTCCAACCAATCCCAATTCCAATTCTTGGCTTGGAATTGGCGGAATTGGAATTGGAATTGGTTGGAATTGGTCGGAATTGGAATTGGAATTGGTTGGAATTGGAATTGGTCGGAATTGGTTTGGAATTGGTCGAAATTGGTTGAAATTGGTCGATAATTGGTCAGGGTCGATCTAGAATCGGTCAAAATTATTCAAGAATGGGTCAAAATTGATCAAGAACTGACTGGAATCGGTGTAGAATTGATTTATAATTGGTATGCAGTTAATTAAGAATGGGTCGAAATTCCTATGCAATTAGCATTGTTTAGAAAATTTTCTATCTAATGTGAATGTTCACATGATACTTTATACAGTATCATAAAAATATCTTCGAATATGAAGAAAAAGTTTTTTTTTCGAAAATTTCCCCTAGGGGGGTAGGGGGATTTTGAAGATGCATTTGTTTCAAAAACCCTGGGGGTGCACTCTAAAAAAATCCGTTTTCTCGGAAACCTTGTATAGGTTTCCGAGTTTGTCACTATATGAAACCCTTTATAGGTTTCCGAGAAAGGGTTTTCGAGTTCTCGCAAACCCTTAAAAGCAATTAAAAAACCTCAAGATCCCGGAAACGCATTAGAGATTTCCGAGGCTTCGAAAACCTTATATAGGTTTCCGGCAGCTACTCACAATACGACTCACTGATCTATATCTGTCGCCTTATTCTAACCCCTAATCTAAGTCTTTAATCTATATCTATCTCCTTACTCTATCCCCTAAATGTATCCCCTGAATCTAACTCATTAATCTAATCCCTTATTCTATCTCTTATTCTATCCCTTATTCTAATCCCTTATTCTATCACTTATTCGATTCCCTTATTCTAATCCCTTATTCTATCCCTTATTCTATCCCTTATTCTATCATTTATTCGATTCCCTTAATCTAATCTCATACTCTATCCCTTATACTAATCCCTTATTCTATCCCTTTATTCTATCATTTATTCGATCCCGTTATTCTAATCCCTTATTCTAACACCTTATTCTAATACCTTACTCCCATGTAAACAAAATACCGAAAAAATCAGATTATAATCGATTACTTTTTGATTAAAAATCGATTAAAATCATACACCTTTTCATCGATTATTAATCGATTAATAATCGATTTAAAATCACGTGCAATCGATTATAATCAATAAAACATTGATCTCCCACTGCTAATCAATTAAAATTGATTAAGTTTGATTAATAATCCATTCTAAATTGATTTCTAATCGATTAAAAGGTGTATGATTTTAATCGATTAATAATCGATTAGAAATCAATTAACAATCGATTCAAATTCACTCGGAATCGATTAAAGTCTACTAAACCTCTTATACCCATTCCTAACCTCCTTATATCTATCTATTCCTAATCCTATACTTATTTCTAACCCTATACCTATTCCTAACCCCTATACCTATGCCTAACCCTTATATCTATCTATTTCTAACCCCTATACTTATTTTTAATCCTGATACCTATTCCTAACCCCTATATCTATGTCTAACCCTATACCTATTCCTAACCCCTATATCTATTTCTAATCCTTATACCTTTATTTTAGTTTTGAACCGACAAATAGAATGAACTTTTTTGAAAAAATGAACGAGAAAAAATATTTTTCTATTATTTTTTAATGTAAATCGATTCGGTTCGTCAATTAGGAAATGGTGAAATTTGAACAGTTTATTCAATCTTAATTCTTTATAGATTCGAATCGATTGTTATTTAGTATTATATAAGTTTGTATATATGTATATATATATATGGAATTTTTTTTTCTTTTGTTATTGAAGAATTTTCAGAAGTCAAGGAAAATACGTATAGAGTTAAATTTATTTGAATAAGAAATAAAGAAGAATGATTAGCAACGCGTTTCGAATGTTTTCTTCGTCAGGCTATACACAAATTTTAGTGAGTGGATACATGTGAAAAATATGATACATGAGAAAGACATTGAGAAAAATATTGAAAAGGACAGAAACGTAGAAAAAAGTAGTGAGTCGCGAAGGAAAACCAGAAAGGTGGAAGAAGTGCAAAAAATAGTGAGTCGCGAAAGACAGAAGAAAAACTATATAATCATTTTACGAGAAGAGATAATATGGATTATAATATGTATATGCGACACGACACGAGTAAACTGTGGTGATGCATTTGAATTGTGTGTTGAGAATTTTTGCAAATTTTTGCGAGTAAAAATTAAGATGATAAAAATTGTTATTAGATATTTAAGAATCAACAATTAAGATGATAAAAATTGTTATTAGATATTTAAGAATCTATATTGGATATTTAAGAATCAACTGTTAAGATGATAAAATCTTTAAGAGTCGATATTGGATATTTAAGAATCAACTGTTAAGATGATAAAATCTTTAAGAGTCGATATTGGATATTTAAGAATCAACAGTTACGATGATAAAAATTGTTATTAGATATGTAAG